GCTTGTAGTTTTCAAGAAGAAGTCGAAAAAGTAAAACATTGACACGGACGACGGACGACGACGGACGACGACGGACAATCACTCATATGATAAGCTCCGCTCGACAAAGTCGACAGCCGAGCTAAAAAGGGGCTTACACACTCCTACGCAATATTGATTAAATATGCAATATGGACGAAAAACCTTTTAAATAAGGTTAGTGGTTTCTCCATATTGTAAATCGAATCGTATTACAGTTTATTATCATAAGCTAGCTAAAAATGTTGCATTTGTATTCGTTACATCAACAAGGATATTAAAAGAAAATGTTCTCGTCCGTATATGTCACAAATGAAAATAAAATAAAATAGACACTTTTAAGGCACGATATTGCCAAGATAACACTTTAACCGAATCAAATGTGCATTCTTAGTTCACTATCGCAGACAGAATCGACGGATGACTGCGATCAGTTTAGGAGACATTTATAGCTATGTATGTAGCCTATTAATAACAAATCATTGCTTGGTTGGATTGCAAATGGACATGATTTGCAGGAATACATCATAGTAATAATTTATTACATTCCTCGTGGGCGGCTCTTTGAGGACGAGATTAGTTTACTTCGCGTGGTGCTGTTTCCTTGGGATGTTTCGAAAATTTTGAAACCGGCACGTCGTCATACTTTATGGATTCCTCGCGCCTTCGAATTGTGATGACATAGACTGCAACCTCGTGCGGATATATATTGAGAATTAGCACAGGAACAGACGCACATGCGCCGACTAGATGTAACACCATCGCATCTCCGAGTACAATTTCTGATTTTCCATCACACAATCATCATCGGTATCCATGGTTACATAAGGTTAACGTTTTACACACTCCCGATACAAATACTCTAGTATCTGACAAGTCTGAATGAGATGACAGGAAATCTAAAAATATCATTTTAAGGAATTTGTGATATCCTGTTTCCAAGCCTCGCGCTTTCAAGCAAGCCTAAGAAGAAGTTGACAGTGTCAGCAAAGGTCATACTGTCAGAATATTCGTAAAAAGGCAATCTATACAGATATCTAATAAGAACAATTTGATAACACACGTTAAGTTGCGAATCAACATGTCACGTTTTTTTTGTGTGGAAAATATTAATTAATTAATTAATTCTTCAATCAATTAATATGTCACATGAAATTTGGCTGCTTTCACGCGATCACATTTTGTCAGAAAGGTTTCTCCTATAAGGTGAATCTGATCCTATGGACCGGCCTCCAGTCTTTTTTAAAGGCTACACTTTCTTCTAAAACAGTCCGTTCCCTATACAAAACGGGACCGAATTCCGTCTAGTACGTATGTCGTGTCCACAATGCAACAAACCCCTAGCAACGTCACTGGTACTCACCTCTGGCAACGTGCATCCAGAATTCACAGTTAGGAGTTTTGGGATGATGGTCGGTATTTGGTATTGTTGGTGCGTTCTCATCAAAAATTATATATTTCCTTGTCATTGTCTCATACCTTGGCCACGATTCGGTAACATTGGTGTTTTCAAACAGCTGGTTTGGGTTACTGTCAAGAAAGTAGGTCACGTGAAAGATGCGTTTTTCTTTATATTTAAAGGGCGGTGGTTGTCGTGCTGCGTCTTGTTCGATATGGGACTCATAGCGACGTACACAACGCGTGTAAAATACATTGTTTATTTACATGAAATTCGAACACGCGCTGCGCGACGACCACCGCGCTTTAACATATTCGGTGTGAAGTAATCATGTAATTTGAAAAATAACACTCACCCATATTTGGCGAAATTGGCCCAGTGCTTCATCATTTGTTTGCTTAGATATACATCTTCTTTAAGGAAGCCTTCATTTGTCACGTCCAGTGGGTGTCCAAACACGTAAGTGATCTCCTGACCATGCACGGCCCCCATCCACTCCGGCCACGGACTTGCATTCGCACGTTTGTGTAAAGAGTAGTAGTAGGCTGGATTACCAGCCATTGCGTATGTGTGTACGAATTGAACGGAGGGACAGCTCAGTTTGTAGTCACCACATATTGCGTCCACCGCATCACGAAGTTTGATGGGGTTGTACGGATCCGTCCAGTCTGTATAATGGAAATAAACCGATTCCGTCACAGCGGAACTCAGGTTAGCGCCTTTAATGCAAGGGTGTGCGTATTTACGATACAGCGCATGAGTCAGCGGATTTTGGCTTTCTAGGCTATAGAAATTATTCAGATACAAGTTGATCATCCATTCCCTTTCACAGTTTCCGACCATTATTTCAGTCGATTTGAAATCGTGTTCTGCCATCATGGTGTCGAAATCGCGATCTAGAAACTCGCCGTCGATGACGATATTATGGTTTTTACCGGCGAAGACATTGGATGTGACATCCTCGGCTGGTTTATTTCTCAAACATTCGATGGTGTCAGGATGTGCGAGATCTCGCTCGTCGTACATGCACCCTAGACTTTCAATGAGTTTTTTTGTATTTACCGTGTTTGTTTCATCGTCTATCGGCCTTAACGCGGGCGAATTTGGAGTACCGCTCTCTAAAATCGCGCGTCGAAAAAGAACGCGACTTATTGGGGAAAATAAGTGATATCCGACAGACGCTCCACCAGCACTGCTGCCAAAAATAGTCACCAATTCCGGATCACCGCCAAAATTGGCAATATTTTCCTTGACCCATCGGAGAGCCATAGCTTGATCCATTAATCCGACATTCCCAGGGACTTCGGAGTTTCCTAGAGATAGAAATCCAAGCGGTCCCAACCGGTAATTGACTGTAATTACGATGACATTTTGGGTGACTGCGAGTACTTGTCCGTTGTATTCTTTTACCCCAGAGGACCCCCAATTGAAACTGCCACCGTGGAACCACACCATGATTGCGGCATCGGATCTCCGTGGGTAAGGAGACCATATATTCAAAAACAAACAATCTTCATTCAATGATTCAGTGGCAAACTGCCACATCAAACCAGGGTGATCCAAAGACAGTTTGGGCTGCCAACAGTTGTTTCCAAATTCCGTTGCATCAAGAGGTCCATCCCATCTAGTTATCCATGGTTTCGGTGGTTTGTATCTTAATTCGCCAACTGGTGGTTGCGCGTATGGAATACCCAAAAATGTGTCTACTTCTTTGTTCAGAACGTTTTTTCTTTTACCCTGGATATCGCCAAATCGTGTCGATTGTATAATCGGCCATTCATCGGCGACAGAGTATCGAAGAAGTAGTTGCAATAATGCTACTAGGATTAAAGACGTTGTACTTGTCTTGATTGCCATTGTTCGTCACTACTTGCGGTCTTTTAACATACCAGGAGCTCACTGAACTGTGTGTTACTGTGAGGTTCGATCTATCACAGCGACGAATCGACCTCGGCCAATCGAGCAACTTTTGATGAAACAAATTGGTTTCTCTGTATACCAATATGGTTGATACTGATTGAAACTGGCGCCTTGGAGTCCAAATTATTCTGTGTTTGTCCTGGACAGCGGTATGGAACCTAACGTACCTTTAATTAGTACGCAATACGCCGATCAATGAAACTGCTCGCCGAGAGTCTGTTGTCACACGTACAGAGGCGTGGCCAATAACTAATTCGCCGTGCAACGATTATAGATTCTGTAGACGAACAGTGTATCTCGACTGACTTCAGGCAGCGACTCGCGCCAACGGGTGACCCGTATGTCATAATGTTACCATGACTACACAAAGCCATTTTAGTGGGCTGAACTAGAATAATATAAAAAGTGGGCTCGGTTACTCCCTCTGCCTTGTGTAACTTTTTATTATCTGTCACAATTGCCTTTGCATCGAGTCATTTGGAGTGGCACTGAACACAAATGAGGTATTGGTGGGGTGCGTTTTTCGTGAAAGCAGGGTGTTATTATATTCAAACAGTGAAAAAGATGAAGGATTGAAGAGCTAGCCTGCACCTGGAGAAAGGCAATTTCTTTCAAATTTGTTTCCAATTAGAAACGCCTCGGCTAACCCTTTCGGTAGTGTATTATGTTGTATTCTGTGGAGACGACTGTACCTGCTCGGACACACCAAACTTTAAGGCTGAATTATGTCATAGTGTGCTGCGCACGAGACCGAACTCGGAGATTTTCTTGTGAACTCAAAATATTGTTCAAGGCAAATTGGCCAATGTTCAGGAACGTTTATAAATACACACCCCATCGAGTGTATACATATAGCAGGGAATGTTAGCGCGTGTGTGTACCTGTTTTTCGGGCATGGGAGAATAGGGTAGAGCGGCGAAGAAACTAATTGAGAACCTATACGATGACAGATTGGCGGCCATGTTGTTTTTATACGGTCCTCACACCGCATCATATCCACACTGCAAGATCCATTCAATGTCGGGCCCTACCAATTATCGCCTATAAGGTATACATGGAACAACAGTATGTCATCGAAGTGTTTGCTTGCATGACAAATCAGACTTTCAAATCAGATAATTAATGTGCAAAGTTTAATCAAATTTCTCACTCTCTTTAATCATACTCTAAATTCCATTGTTTCATTGCTTCAAAGAAAATGTTATGGTAATTATTGTGTGTAGTGTTCTAATTATTAAAAAGAATTATTCCGATTACTGTAACCCGTCGTGTTTATAATACATTCCGTCGCATTAATGAAATCCCGTCATACACGAAGCCTCATCCCGAAAATAACACATTCTTTTTTTGCTCGCTGATTCTCCGAGCATAAAGAGTAAGGTGAAAAAAAACAACAACAGATATTCAAATATCGTGACGTCATTTGTTCTGTAGTATCTGTATACACTGTAGTTTACCAGCATAATAGATCAAAACTAACGTGAATGTGCGGTGTTTTCATCAAATAATAAGATTCCCTTTCCTTTTGAGGTTGCGTGCTTACAGGAGGTAATAATAAATACAGTAACAACTTATTCATAAGGGACGGGGCCTCAACAAGTGTCGGGTTGGGAATATCGAACACATTGTTGCATGATCAGCATTTAAACGCCGTGGCCATTTCAATTTCTTATTTGTTCGCTCAAAGTCTGAACTTATAAGTGAGAACGGGCGAGAGAGATGGAGAGGGAAGCATGCTTGCAAGGTAATATAATTTAATGCTACATTGTAAAACTGGGTGATATTAGCCATGCACTAGGATAGGTCAAAGGTTAATATGCGATGCGTTACATCATAAAATACTGTTTAATTTGTAAAAGGCACGGATTTCTCTTTAATGGTTCGAAGAAGGCAGAATTCTCATAAATTCCCGCTGTTGCTACTGTTGCCCAGTTTCCCCTTGGTTTTAAGTGTTTTACTATCGTCTTCGTGGCACTGCAAATAGCTATTGTGTTACGTCGGATCAACCGTGCCTGCGTTGAAGAGTTGTCGAACATACGTATATACAAACCACACCTTTAAATTTACACGTGTGTATTATAGAGCAAAACAATTCTAGTCGAAATCAGTTGTTAGTTATTAGTTTGTGTGGGATTTGATGTTTTCCCATATGCATATTTGTGACACATTTAACGAACATATCCGAACATTCCGAGAACGTCGGTGTATAGTATTAGGGAGGGGAAGGGTATATCAAATAATTTTACATGCAGCAGCATGGCCATAGATATCACAGGCTCACGTCCATCACTGTCATATGTTTACTTCATAATCGAAGGGAATAATGATGAGGACGATGTGCGATATGATGTTTTACCTCCATCAGCGTTAGTAACGTGACTTTCTGTAAAAATGTTTTAGATACGGACATGAAATTCAAACGAGAGGTGTTATATTAGTGTTATGTCCACTTATTGTACACCAAAACGATAAAATGTTATAGCTTATGTCTCTGCCAAGATCAAATTGCATGTGTGTAAAACTTCATTTAAAAATGTTTTATTCTGAAGGCATATAATAACATTCTCGTGCACTGTAAAGGGTATGACAAAGAAATTAAATTAACACGCCACCGAACATGCTTTAACATTACGTTGATAACACCGAACTCATGGTGGCGTAATACTTGTTTTGCAAAACAACAAAGCAAATACGAGTAAGGCCTGGTGTTGCTCATTCTATGTATCCGTTGAATAATGTGATTGCCGCTGTTTTAGAAACTTACTATTCTCCCTCCAATAAGATTTTAAAGTTGTGATTGACGCTGTTCTAGAAACAGCTGACACCCCTGTTCCAACATTATTACAATGGATGTACTTCGTGTTCGATCTACCCCAGCACCGTAAATATTAAAGGTGGCATATTCACACAAATGAAATGGATCTATTGGAATTTCATTTTACTTAAAATAGTTTGGGGTGAACAACTTTGCTTCTTTAAAAAAAAGTCATTAATCCCAAAATACTAACAAATAATGTAACAGCAAGGCACCTACAGCAAAGCTTGCAACAACACGTCGATTGGTAAGATAGCGGGCGCTCATAGACGCAGATGAACTCGAAACTTGACATCGTACAGGCGCTGCTCTCGTTGCAATGGTTGGGCTGGTTTTGCTTTCAACTTCACGTTCATCCGTAGGAACTGCAGTCGTTGCTACAAATACAAATGAATAATATGTAAAACGCAAAAGTTTGAATATGTTTGATGATCGTATGAGGGCGCCTGAAGCACGTAAAACTAAGCACTGAGCTTGTCGTATCGACGTATTGAAGGTAGCGGGACCTTCTAGTTTCCATGGTTTGATATAGATAATTAACAGTTTTGCTAGCTGCTTGAACACATTTAATTTCAGTGAAAACTCTTAATGGTTACTTTTCTGATATTATAATAATCGTTGACGACTTATTGGACTCACTAAAGTATCACCAACAATTACAGGATAATGGGAGTTCATAAACAGAGCCATCTAGCGTCGACACTGAAATAGCAGTAGTCCAAAAAAAAGCTGTTTATGGTACAATTTTTGTATCTTGACACTGAGAATCGATCCTAGGCTTACAATCTTGTTTAATTGTAAAACAAATTCAGTATTATTGTGCCAACGCGCAACTTATTCATGTAAATATATGGCGGTGCTATATATATGCTGGCTGCAAATATATTCTGTGCACATATATTATTCACTCAGGGATTCAACAAGTTTTAGAATGTGAAATGAGTTATGAAGCGGCTAACCAACTTTAGATTTCTGAAACTTTGCTGAATTATTCCTTGTGACTGCCTGTTTAAATAAAAAAAAAAAAAAAAAAATCGGGATACCCTAGATCCTGGTCCGTCTCTTGTCGATACGCTAGTGTGACTCTGGCGAGTGTCCCGCAGTATAATATAAGAAATACCGCTGAGGGCAGCATAAAAAACAGGAACGGTTACTGTAACTCGTACACAAAAAAGCAATTTTGATGTCCCAAAATGAACCATAATCATTTGTTTTATAGTACTTTTAAAATCTTCAAATTTTTGCTAGTTAGCCACGCCCAAGAACAACATTAATAAATATACCGTAAACATGAAAACATTTGCTGAATAGACCACTTTGCCGGAAATCGAAGATACGGCGTTTCGCATGCGCGCATAACGTCTTAGGGTGTGACGTAAACTTTCACACATAATATTGTGCTTCTGGGTGTACCAATCGACGTCACAAAAATAAAATTCTTTTCTATCTACTATCAGGAAACTGACATGTTTGTATTTTCCGCCATGACAAAGCAGGAGTTTTTTATACATATGTTATACATTGTTATTGTTATTGTTTTATACATATGTTATACATTGTTGACAATTGTGAATAAAAAAAAATAACTACCTTGTGTTTTGTTTACAGTCATCAGTGGTATGTAATGCTGTGGCCCCATTTCCAGCTGAGGGACTAAATTATTCCAAAATTCGCAGTATGGTGTTCGCGGATAGTCTTCTATATTCGGTGCGCCCTCTAGTGCCCCATTTATGACAAAATATCTCCGTTCGTCTTTAGTATAACGAGGCCAAATGTTCGAGGTCAGTGGATTCGGATTTCTAGTATTAATAAAAAATAGCAGAATTAAAGCAATCACTGTAATCGAGGCCAGCAGTGCGTGTGCTGCATACTGTTAACAAAATAAACTGTTATTTCTAATATAACTTTTAAAGGGATATTGATCACTGCAATTGGCAGGAAGGCAAGCCATGAGAGGTCACAACATATTACATAAGGGATGACGACACCTCAAGGCTGCGCTTAAGGTTCAATGACACAAAATAACATACAATTTCGTCACACAGCCCTTTTAAATTTACCTGACTTGACCTAGATGTTATATTTGAGTAAAACAAATAACCACAAGCCGTGAAATAAAGTACAGTGACGTGAAATAAGAGGGGAGGCAAGGGGGGGGGGTAGCTAGTACGGTTTTACGGGAAATAAAAAGGGCTTTTTACAATTTACAAGGAAAAAAAGACGTTTTTACAGTTTACAGTGTTAAAAAAAGAACATTGAATGGTCCGAAGAGCTCTCCGACTCAAATTCCCCGCCATAGCTGCGCCATGTGTAGAGATGCACGCGCATATTACCCTCGTAATGCTCTTCATTCGGTTAGAGGGCCTTTTACGTCTTGACATTCAATTTTGTGGTGAATTGTGTCATCTAGTCGTTTTACAGTTTCTATAATGTAATTTCCCTGGATTATTCTTTACGATTTTTTATTTGGATGTAAATTCTTGTACGTACCGAGAAAAAATACACATTTTTACTGTGTACGAACAAAATATTTGATCGATTACGTTGTACGTCAAGCCTGTGATTACAGAATTACGGAATTTATTTTTTCAATTTACGTTGTACGAACAAAAAAATATTGCAATTACGTTGAACGAAAATAACCCTTGCCCCCCCTCAAATAAGATATATGTATATTGGATATGGTATTATCTATTGTGACGTTGTCTGCGCAGATGGGGAGGTCCCGAGTGACATGCGTACATCACTAATGTGTACAACAGATATCGTTTCTGTAAGATTAGAATACACATTGAACAATAAAACATATAACATATAATTATAACATATAAAACATAAAACATATAATTGGCGACGTAAAGAAAAGCTTTTTATTTTGTTCTTTCTATGCTCTATGTTATTTAGTATACAGATGGATGGTTTTATCACACATCCCGACGAGTGCTCACATGAGGTATTGCTACGTGTGTTGTTTGTTTAAATGATTAATGAAATTACCAGGAAGAGAGCTTTCAGAAACTGTTTCGGGACCACGAAGTCATACATGGCAGTCGTATAAATATATTTATGTTTGCGTGTCAAAAATAATTGAGTATCTCTGAACTGCAAACTGCAAAAATCAGGCCATAAATCCAAGTTTGTTCAAATATTGTGACAGCAAAAGGCTCTGACGTTTTTTTACTCACCCATACTTGGCAAAGTTGGCCCAATAGTGCATCATTTGTAGACTAAGATCGACGTCTTCATCGCTATAAGGTCCAAATTCAGTGTTTAGAGGGTGGCCAAATATGTACTGTATTTCGTCCCCGTGCACCACACCCATCCATCCAGGCCACGGACTTCCCGATGATCGCCGTCTAAGGTCGTAGTAGTACGTATCAAGCCCAGCCTTAGAATATGCGTTGACGATGTCGATGGTGGGACACTTTAAAATATAATCCCCGTACACATCGTTAACGGCATCCCGCAGCTTAGCCGGGTTTGTTTTGTCTTTCCAGTCGGTGTACTGAAAAATGGCCATTTCGGCAAGTCCCTTTGTCTGCGATGATGTTGCCCATGTAATGTACCGAACACCCATCTCAAATTCGTCGTATGTGAGAAGGCTTTCTGTGTCGATAGAATATCCCGGCACTAGTCTGACCATGTCTATCATTCCTTCGTTTTGACATTGTCCCGCTAAAATCTCGGTGTTTTTGAAATCACCTGTTTCTAGTTGTACTTCCGGGCTATTGGTGAGTAATGTCCCATCAATTACAACGAATATATTCAGTGAAGCAAATTGGTCATGAGAAATGTTATAGGCGGGTATTTCCCGGAGACACTCCATTAGTTTCGACGAGTTGTCGATGTCTCTTAATCCGGAGCAACCCACGCCTCGGACTAAACTATCGGCAGACACCTGGGCTAAAATGCTTTCTGAATCCCGCGGCTTTAACGGTGGTGTGGTAGGAGACCCACTCTCGACAATCGCACGACGAAATAGATTCCTTGTCATGTTGGACAGAAGATGGTACCCGACAGATGCCCCGCCAGCACTACTGCCAAAAATGGTCACCAGTTCTGGATCCCCGCCGAAATCTGCAATGTTTTCTTGGATCCATTGGAGAGCCATCGCCTGATCCATCAGTCCGAAATTTCCACGAATCTCTGAATCTTTCAAAGCTAGAAATCCAAGGGGACCTAGGCGATAATTTATCGTCACGACAACAACACCTTGGCTGGCCGATAACATTTTCCCGTCATATTGTTTGACACTGGCACTGCCCCAATTGAAACTACCGCCGTGTATCCACACCATCACTGCAGTATTGTTGGTGAAGGGAGAAGGCGCCCAAATATTCAAAAACAAACAATCTTCACTCAAATTTTCCCCAACACTCCACCACGAAGTACCAGGATGGTCTAGATTGGAATCAACTTTCTGCCAACAGCTACTACCAAATTTTCTTGCGCCACGCGCTTCATCCCAGTTCCGTTGCCATGGTTTGGGGGGCGCGAACCTCAAGCCACCTACTGGCGGTTCCGCGTAAGGTACACCGAGATATACATCAACATTCTTCTCCAGAACCGTGTATCTCTTTCCTTTCAGTTCACCAAACCGCATCCTCATCGAGATTTTTCTGCTTCCATGGCAACCAATAATGACCGTCAATGCTAAAAGAAGAAATTTACCGAGCGCCAAGTGCGCGCTGTTTGTACACAACATCATACTTCCGGGATACGTCGTGAACTTCGTGAACTACAGTGATTTTTGGACCAGAATGCCCGCTTATGTCACACACAGTAGCAGTTGATAAACACTAGGCATATATTATCCTTCACCACCAAGAATGTGTCCAATTTGACCTTTGACCTTTGAGCATTTGCTTTTACAGATGTTATTTTCAAGCCTATACTTCAAATACCGTCTTTATAGTGTGATGACGATAACAGCATCGTTGTCACTGCGTTCAAGTCTTTCTTTAGCCGACATTTTAACGACTTGTTTGGTTGTACTTGTTGAACTTGAAGTATACTATTACATAGGGCCGTAATAGTGTTTGATTTTAACTGTGAATCATAGAGAAACAAGAACTAGAACAAACAAGCAACCAACGCGACATACAAATGTCAGTGAGTGTGAAGGACTATAATAATATGAATATAGCACGAGTGCGAAGACAGCGTACGGTTCGATTCACGTTCGATTCACGTACGATTGATACTCCCATTGATTCACACAAATGTTCATATATAGAAATTTAAACCAATGTAACAATGTTTTTGTCTGCAAAATAGGGATCAACTTAGTATTTTCTAAAAAAAATCAAGGTTATAGATACATGTACTTTCATAGTGCACATATCAGTTCCGTGCCTCTGCAACTAAACGCTGTCTTCACACTCGTGAATATAACTGACTCACGTGGTAGTACATCTGGTTGATGGGGTGCGTGATCTCATGTACGTGTGACATAATAATCTATTATTAGTAATACACCATAGGGTGAGTGGCAGTGTATATATATATATATATATATATATATATATATATATATATATATATATATATATATATATATATATATATATATATATATATATATATTGGTTTCATCCTGGGTGAATGGTCTGTTCGTGTTTTATAATAACGAGGAAAATGATGACGTAATTGCGAAATGGTGGTACATGTACATGGGCGTTGTACCGCACTGTACTTTGCAATCATCAAGTAACCTCATTAATTTTTAAAAAAAAACGGTGTTCACTTATTTATAGTAAACCAACCCATCACCGCGATCATACAGAAGCCAGTCCAGTGCGCCATGTAGTTACCGAGTTTGCCAGCTGTGGTGCATGCCATTCATTATAAGGTCTCATATTACATTTCCATAGAGCCAATTAGTAAAACCATCTTTGTTTTTCTACTGTTAAACAGTAGACAGTAGCATTTTGTTATAACATTATAGTACACATTCGTCAAATTTGTCTTTATCCGCTGTAATGTGTTGTATCGGGAACAATACGTGTATATGTGTTCAACCAATGAGGTGTTGTAACGAGGAAATACTGAGTAGTTTTAGGAATGAATTTTGAGGGAGCAATGCATTGTGGGTTGGTTCGTCGCCCCCACACACTGTTGACCAATCCGCCGATTTATGAAAAAGTGAATAAATTCATTATTATTTCACAATGAAACAACATTCCTTGGTGTGCATAAACATATTTACGTTGTCAAAACACAAATCGTATCTTAAATGCACTAGGTGGCGCTGTTTGCAAAAAATACCATCATCGGTTCTTGTAACGCAGGCTGGTAAGAAACATATGCTGTGGAGACTGATCCATTTTCCCATTGGGCACTGAGTAATTAGAACGTCGTCGTATTCAGATAATATTTCATTTATAATTACAAACACACACGTGGTAATCATTAAAAACTATTCAAATTGTATCATAATGTGTAAAAGATCGAGAGCATCACAATTGATGTATGCGCACGCTATATACCTCACGAATAGAACCTCACAGATACGACCTCACGAATAGGACTCAGGAAGTGACGTATTGATTGTTCAATGGCGTTGTGGCACCTTATAATTTAACGTTGCCGGGCCCATTAGTATCAATATATTTGGTATTTCGTAAATAGAAACTGAGCTCGCGACGTGGACTCGGGTCGCACACAGTCGGACAGAGCAAGGGAGCAAGGGAGTGTTTGGTTATTGAATGACCCTTGGTTTGCGGTGCTACTATTCGATGACTCGCGATGTAACGGTCGGTACTGTGACTGATTCAAACGCCGTGTGCCGTTATATTCCTGGGCACAGAATGTGTTT